ATTCCAAATTAGAGATTGTAAAATATATAATTATATAATTTCAATCGATTCAGTCAGATTCTATATTTCATTCTATGATTTAGTCAGATTCATACATTTCATCCTAAGTAATACAATTCTATAATTGATTCCAAATTAGAGATTGTAAAATATATATAATTATATAATTTCAATCGATTCAGTTAGATTCCATATTTCATTCTAAATCGTAAATTATAAATTATATAATTCCATTCTATAATTTAGTCAGATTCATTCATTTCGTCATAAATAATACAATTCTATAATTGATTCCAAATTACAGATTGTAAATTATAAATTATACAATTGCGTTCTATAATTTAGTCAGATTCATTCAGTTCATCCTAAATAATACAATTCCATAACTTCATTCTACGATTCGCTCCAGTTCTCTCTTTCATTGTAAATTATAAACACTAAATTTTATACAATATAATATCATTCCGTAATTCAGTAAAATTCTATACCTCATTCAGTACTATACAATCGTGTAATTTAATATCATCGAAAATACAAAAAGATCGATCGAAAGAAACACCTTTCTTTCGCGATTGAAAACTTCATACATTTTTAATCTAAATGAGAACGTTGGCCACACTCGAATTTAAATATTTCCAAGGAAGAAATTGGGGCTGTGGGGGCAGGATCGTCAAAGAAGCGTTCATTGCTAGTGGTCCTGCGGTGAGCAGTTATCGGTCGTTATTTTTACATGAAAGCGAGCGAACAAAAATAAGGCAACGTCCGTCGTCAGCGAAAGAGTTGAAAAGCACTCTTATGGCTGGTGTTGAGAGCATGCTTATTTGCGAGCCGTCGGTTCGGTTTTATGGATGTTCGTCAAGTGAAACAAGTTGTTAGGTGACTCACATCCTATGCCAGCGGGGACTCATTCGTAACACTGTGCTTCTTGAAACACCGTTTACCAACAAACACCTTTGTTTCCTGGTAAACAAGCGTCAACAGCCGCTATCCCTCCCAGGCCAATAATAAAAACTCATAACACACTCCGCGAGCTTGATATCAGCCTTCTTTGACGACCTAACGATTCATAAATATGTTTGCATAGCGCTACGTTATTTAAATGTAAATTTAAAATAGTAGATACGAAACATTCGATCACGCGGTGCCTACTGGTTCGTTACGTAAATGTATCGTTCATTAAATACATTTCCAAAGCGTTATGTTATTCGAAAAGAAAACGAAAAAATATTAATAGATACGAAACATTCAGTCGCGTAGTGGGTACTACTGGTTCGTTACGTAAGCGTATTATTTAACAGCAGACAATTATTTCTATCGCGCCCACTTGTATTACAAATACGTACATATTTACTTTTTCAAGCATTCTTTCTATTACATTGTTATTTTTAGATTAGCGTGGCTGGTCGATAATTGCTTACGCTTCTTCGTTTATCGAATTTTTTTCTTTCGCGTTTCCCGTACGATAGCAAACGACTCGTTTAATCGAATAATGACTCGAAGTACGATTAAAAATTATGCGCCGTACAGTTTCGGTCCACGATTACCGAGCTACTTCCAACACGGATATAATAATATATACAAGAAAAAAAGAAATAAAAATTTGTTTCAAATTTCTCGCACAAAGCCACAGTTATCCTTACATAGTATTTAAAACGGTACTTAATTATCTACATTAATTCGTTTTGCACCTCTCGAATAAATTTTATCGCACTACGCGTTCAGAGATTAGTGGATATATCAGAAAAGCTCCGAATGTAAATTAAAATCGTCAAGCGTTCCTGATCGGCACGTACGATTCGGCTCGATAAAAGAGAAATCCGTCCTTATCCGACCACGGTTCGTTCGGGAAGCACATTTTTAAATGTCACCCTGGATAAAAATAAACGCGGCGACATGGATGATCCACGCCGCGACTCGAAAGCAGAATAAAATTTGTACGAAGCGTGTACCGAATACCCATTCAACCGAGGGTTCAGCAGAGATCAAGGTCGAGCGTGAATTACTATCAATTTTATTCGAAACTTACGTTTCATTCGCAAACGATCGGGAACTCGCGTGGCGCGCTGCGCGATCATTTCGTAACCCTAGAAAATGTATCACTTCGCATACGTTTCGCTCTCTACGTTGTTTGAATATAAACAGGTTGTGTTATCGTTCTCCATTCAGTCTCCTAAACGAGCTCAAGGTTCCTCGGCGAAGCTCGCAGAGTTAAATTAGGAGTACGAATTACTGGCGAATAAATTATTACATTTTTAATTATTCCTTGTCGAATATTTAATTCTGTAATTGAAATGCTACCGAACCTATCAACGTACACGACTATTTACGAATGTTTTCCTGTTTCATTTTTCTTTATATCGTTGTTTGTTTAAACCGTACCGCAAAATATACCTTTTGTTCTTATCGAAGAGATTGCATGCAAAATTGACGAGCACAGAGGAACCATGGCATTATATAAACATACGCGTTTACGTTATTTTTATCACTTATGTCATATATATATATATATACAGTTATTATTAGATAATGCTATCTAATCTTGTACGACACATTACGGGATACAATTTGACTTTCTTTGAGACTTGTTTCACGGAGATACCGCAGAGGTCAATTTCTTCTGTTCGCGCGTTTCGCCGTAACGCGACCGAGCGCCGAATATTCCGTGTAATTTAATTAAACGATACCTGGCGATCGAAGCGTCGCGTTACCCTCCGAGAAAGAAGTACTTAACCAAATGAAAAAGTAAATTTAAAAAAATTGCCGTCTAGACGTTTCGTAGGTAATATATTTTCGATCCCGTGTCTCGCTGATTTCTGAAAATACCATTCCGGTAAAAGCTCTCAGTTTTGCGGGCGAAAAGCGAATCAGAGGAGATGGATTAAATTTCTTATCGCCGAGTATCTTTCGCGGGAAACCTTCGGGAGAATTTTTTCGCCAAGAAATTGCTGAAACTCGATGTTCGGATGAACGAATATCATGTATAAAAATTTCGTGAGAGAGACGTTCGTGAAAAATCGATTGAACATGATGAAACTGTATGTACCATGAAACCGTGTTACGAAGACAGTCGTCTTTCAGCTAATGGAACGAAGCTGTTTGTATCGTTGCAGTTACTGGGCGGTGCTTGCTTCAGCCACGGCCCGTACACGTTTTACAAAGCGGTTAGGGTTGGAAACGGTCGTGTACTGCGTCTGGGGAGCTTCTTCCTGACGAAACTCTGGAGCGATGCCGACCTCGTCAGCATCGGGGAGCTACAGCTGCTGTGGATGGACAGCCGCGGACCGAATCAACCTCTGGCATCTTTACGGCTGTACTTCTTGCCGGAGAACACCCCGGACGGTCGAAGGGACATGCACGGAGAGGTGAGTCCTTTTAACTTTTATCTCGCTCATCTGATCCCTCTTTCGACCATGGATTATTAGCTTTTCCGAACGCGTTCCTTTTTCAATCGAGACTCGGAAAGCTCGCAACTTTGTTGTAGCCAGAATTCACGAATTTTTTTTAAGATTTCGATATAAATTGCAATCCAAACGAAAGGGGAATTTTACAGTACAAGCGTGAAGCTTATACATGTAAATCTTAAATGTTACTTGGAACACCCTGTATACATATATTACGAAGAGATTCTATTGAATATTCTATAGAAATTTCATTTCACGGCGAACGAACGAGAGTGTAGTATTCGTGCAAATGTTTGATAGAGTAAACGTCGCGAATGATTCGTTAAGCATTGGTTTCATTAGTCAGCTGTTGTTGGAATAAAAAGCTAGTGTTTATCTCTGGCTCGAAGCTCCGCGGATCCGAATTGTAATTCAGACCGATAATCGCTCGCGAATACGCGAACGCGTCATTTCGCGACAAGGAAACGCTCTTTCGATGGTCGCAAACCGGTTTTACATTCTGTTTTTTCCACTCTCCTCGGGCGTTTCATCGACGAAAATCTCGCGCCGCGACGCGTGTTCTCTTCGCTCGAGTCGAAAGGATTTTCCCCTCGACGCGGATAGGCGAAATTTTTACATGGATAAAGATTTTGAACAAACAACAAAAATATTAGACAAATTAAAACCATAATTTGCCAGAGCGAACGTTATTATTCCGAATGCTACACGTCTCGACGCTAGATCTTGTAAATAAATCGTACCGTGGTAAACATAGAGGCAAAATTATATATTTAAAAAATGATTAAATATGAAAGTTACGATTAGACTGCGAATGTAGTTTATGGCAAATGAAAATACGAATTTTGATAGGAAAATGCTGTAGGATCGATCGCGTATCTGTGGATTGGTTTTATTCGTTATCTATCGCTTTCGAATAAAATTCTACCCGTCTCTGTTAGTCGGTCCCAAAATTACGAGACGGCTCACAGGGTCACTCGTCCTCCAATCGGATAAGATTCGAAACGTGACGTGCATTCGACTTTCATTAGCGTCCATTCCCCTCTTTTGTCCACGGTTTGCAGCGCTCGACTATTCGTGTTTGCACAGCAAGATTTTTATTTTCGACGAACAACTCTCGAGAACTTTGACCTTTCTGGATTAAAATTGTTACGGCCAAGACTTATCGTATCAATCCAAAATAGTTGGATATTTTTAAATAAGAAGAATAAATATAGGCAAATGGTGAGAATGAAAGTTAAAAAATATCTCCTTATAGGGAATGATATGACGAAACTTTTTTGTATTTACAGTTTGTTCATGGAACGTTTAGTTTCGAAAATAAAAATTAAAAACTTGGAAGACCTTTTTCTTGAAATTCAACTTTCGCAACGATCTTCTGACTTTTCAGTTTTTATTTTCGAAACTAAGCGTCCTATAAGTAAACTGCAAATATAAAAAAGTTTCGTCTTATCGTCCCCTGTAAGGTAATATTTTTTAAAAATTGGTTCACAATGTACAAACATTTCTCCGAGTCCATTTCTCGAGATATATATATACGCTCTTCCCAGTCAAAGGGTAATTAGGCTTCTCGCGCAATTAAAAATTACTGTACAAAGTAGTCTAGAATTTATAAGCAGTCGTTCGAGGGATAAATGTTATCATTAGGCACTGTACAACTTTCGATACATAGCGTGGGACAAAAATAAATGATAATAGCGAATGGATAGTGAATCATCAGATAATGAATACTCGAGTGGCAATCTAGGCGTATCAGGGGCAAATTACAGGAAAGAAAAACATGAAATCCGCGTACAAGATACTCTGAGACCCGTCATAGAATCGATGTATGTGTTGACAAAAAAAAGTTCACGACGCGATAAATTAAATATCTACTTTCGAAAGTGATTTAGTTATGAATTTTTTCAACGACGCGTACGAGACATATTTTCATATTGGAAGCAGTCGACGATTGGGTTAGCGTATGAATAATTTAGACTTTTCAAAGTTCTTCCAAGACGTCGGGATTTATTTTCACGGGCCGCGTATGAATATTGGACAGCGATCGTCTATTTAAGCGATTCGCATTCAACTCGGTCCCATCTTCAGCGAAAGCACAAGTTGAACCAGAATTAATCCTGTCTTATAATAACGCGATTACCGCGACCACGATACTGTTGGAGGCACATTCGTGTACTCGGAATCAAATTCACCTTGTATTATGCTAACGACATGCTAATGGCTCCTTCTTTAACGACCGTTTCCTTTTGTGAGCTCGCTTTTGATTCCTCGGGTCTCCTCGTCGCTCGTAGCTTCCCATCTGGCCGATATTAATTACGGAATTCTATGTCTGGCCTCGTGATTTCATGGTTAACGTGCAACGAGAAAGTCGAAAAGACGAAAGTATAAATTCCCGTTATGGTATCCGCGAGACCGAAACTCGTTGTAAATATATAATCGTAAACGCGCAGAATTCATTTCTCCACCTAAGAAGTAACAATTGTATATTTGTAGATAATCTCGGTTTATCGATTACGCGTATTGCGCATAGACCAAAAAGAATATTACCCGATGAATAATTTGTTCGCATTAAGCGCGAGTTGAATAAAAATTCGCAGCCTTCGCTCGGCCGTTCGTGCGCGCGATAAATTTCGCAATAAAGCGACGTAAATCAGTCGATAATTACAAATTTATGCCCGTCCATAAACAAAATGCCGCATAGCCGACGAAAAATGCAGGCGCATTAAATCGACGAGAAAGCAGCGAATCAATTGGGACGAGCCGAACAAACGGGGAACAACGAACAGAGTTGAAAAATTCGTGGAATTTCGCGACGCGTCCGTAAAACACAGTATTTCTACGTCGCAACAAATTTTCTACCGATTAAATTACGCTGCAATATTAATTCTACCTCTGCGAATAATAATTTTCCGAAACACCCAAAAGTACTAGAATTTTTTTAATTTCTTGCATAAAAAGTACAGTTTTAGAAAACTTTTTTTTGTTTTGTTTTTTTTTTTTTGAACATTCATTTCGACACAGTAATTTCGTTATTAGATCGCGAATATTTTTATAGGAGATTTGAATGCAGAAGAAAGTAAAATAAATTTGAAGTTGGATTGAATTTTAGGCACGTTTGCAAAGATTTTACTTTGCGCTAAAAGCCTCAGTCTATTCATTGTAACGAAAATACCTGCGTACTAGAATTTTAATTAAATTAAATTAAATTCTCTTCGTGCTTTGTATTCTATATTTTTATAGGAAATTTAAATGCGTAAGAATGCACGCAATATGCAAAAATATAAAAAGAAAATCCAAAGTAAAATTCATATAGTAATATTTGAAAGACAAAATAAATTCTTATTTTTGTTGAATTTTTTGTTCTCTGCGCGAAGAGTCCCAATCTCTTCGTCGCTTAAATTCTCTTCGTGCTTTCGTACATCAGGTCACGTTGCATTTTACTTACACTCGAAAGCGATGATAAATTTCGAAATTCCAGTTCCTTGTCGAACAAAAACGAGGAATTGATATCGTGGAATTTGTCGAGATTTAAGAAAGTACATATCGCGCTCGCGCGGAGCTCTTGACGCAATTTATTACGGAAGAGAAGGAAAGGAAAACGCGGCAGAAGCGTATCTGTATGTTGTTACCGCAGTTTTCATAGTTGCTGGCTTTCATTCAAAAACCGTATTTGCATTCTCATTATATTTTTTGCCCCTCTTTCGTCGGGAGTTCCACTGAAACTCCGGAGCTGCATTCTTGTAACTCGTTTTCCGTCTTCTGCAAATATTAATTTCGTTTCTTTTGCTCGTTGCGCGGGATAATAAATAGAACGAACGTAAAACGCGCAGCGATAATTCGCGCATGCACTCTTCAACCAACCTAAACTTGACTAACTTGTTTCCTTAAAGTCCGTTCTTCTCGATATTACTTGCTTGTTTGACAAACACATCCGTGTATTACATTACCATTAACTTTCTTTAGGGAAAATGATAGTATTTCATTTGTAGTTCACAATAGTAACAATAGTTTTGTTTGTATAGTTTCATCAATTAATCAATTTAAAAAATTGAAGAAATGACCCGCATTCGACCTTGAGATATCTCAAATTCGTTGTTTCCACGTGTTTCAGCATCGTTTATAGTTGATTGTAGTAATTTTCCTTTCATTTGTAGTTGAGTAGCTTAGAAGTTATAAGTATCCAATAGATAAACCGTTGATAGAAATTCGATTGTATTTTGGACGTCCCCTGGGGGAGGGCGGCAAATAGCACGGCACCTGATTAGGCGAAATAATTGAGGAGATAGCCGGTGGAAAATCAAATTCTGGGACATTAGGCGAGAAACAGAATCCATTTCTCGCGTGCAATGGCGCCTCCCTTCGAGCTAACCGGTCTGTAAACAGTGAAAATGACGAGCGAAGGGGGTGTGCTTAATTGACAATGTACCGATAGCAGGAACAGCCAGACCCCGAAATCCACCCTAACAATCCACCGAGGGATTGCTCCGTGTCCTTCCGACCCCCTCGACGAGCATTTTTACATCTGCCTTCCTCTACTTTGCAGCCTCGTCTTTATTAACCCCACTCACCCAACCCCTTTCCTTAAACGTGCTCCTGGTTTGCATACACCTCTCGTTAACTTCCTGTCCACGAAGTTTCCTAAGAAGAGCTCGGAGAGTTTCGTGATTTCGATAAAAGGCTCTCAATTGAGTGGTTCGTGAAGGAAATAAGAAGCTTCACTATTAGGAACGTAAACAAACGTTTTAACCTTCTATGAGCCAAATTTCTTTTTCTGCGAACAACTTTGCAAGGGATTAGTTCGATATTTCAGGTCGATGGTGCTGTCAACCACCATAATTATTATTATTAGAATAAAGAAGTCTTCTTCTTCAGTCGTTGACTAAACAAATTACTAGTAAATTGATCTTAGAAGATATTGTGGTAAGATTCGAAATAAACTTTAGCTTTAACTAATTTTGCTCGCA